CGTCGTTCATTGGTTTTTCATACCTTTTCTTTGCATTATTGTAACATTGGGGTAAATATATTGTAGGCCCAGCTGGAACAAGAGAGGAGGATACGGGAGCAGATGCAGGCGAAGATGGAGAGGGTGGAGGCCGAGCGGGAGGCCGAGCAGCGGAGGATGGCAGAGATTCTTCAGTACATGCAAAGTCTTGGCGCCGCTACGGGTGTAGTTCCGCCACCTTCGCTATTCGCTCCACCTCCTCACTATTCTACTCCTGTGAGTATAAATGTTTTAGTTTGTATGTTCATGCTTACGGTCAAACCTAGTGGAGTATGAAAGTTTTATTCATGTATGGTATATATTTATCTTGTCTCACACATGCAACATCTTCTCCTTTATGCAGAATCAATCGGCGGCATCTAACAATCCTCATGCTTCAGCGAATCCTTCACCAAATTAGTCTCATTGGCCATCTTGGTGATGATACTTGTGGTTGTTAATGGTACGTCTATTTGCAATTGTGGTTGTAGATGATGGAGCACTTGGATTACTTGTGAACTTATTTGTGATATATTGTGAGACATGTGATGTTTGTGATATATATGTGGTGTTGGTGATATATATGTGTTGTTGATGATATATATGTGATGTTGGTGATGTTTGTTATATATATCTTCTGTTTGTTTGGATGGGATGTAAAAAACAAATAAAAAAGGTTATTTTTAGTCACTTTGCCGAGTGCAATGGTCATGACACTCGGCAAAGTGACTACCTGGGAACATGCTTTGCCAAGTGCAAAGGCCATTACACTCGGCAAACATCACAGATTTGCCGAGTGCCACGGGCCAGGCACTCGGCAAAGGTCGCTTGTTTGCCGAGTGTCTTGACAGGACACTCGGCAAATAGGCTACCTTTGCCGAGTTTCTTGCCGGTGGCACTCGGCACAGTGGCCACCTTTGCCGAGTGTCTGAGTCAACGGCGCTCGGTAAAGCGGCGACCTTTGTCGAGTGCTTAACCTTCACACTCGGCAAAGCCGCCGTCACGGTAGCGCTCGCCGTCACGGCGACTTTTTTTTGCTGAGTGTCAGATTAGCACTCGGCAAAGGCTTTGCCGAGTTCTCAATAAAATGCACTCGGCAAAGAGGTCTTTGCTGATAAACTGTTTATCGAGCGCCCTTTGCCGAGTGTAACACTCGGCAAAAGGCTTTGCCGAGTGTATATCGGCATTTGCCGAGTGCCTGAGGCACTCGGCAAAGAAGCTGAATCTGGTAGTGCTTGGCTTATAAGCCATACTTTTTCAGCCAACAAACGGTATTTTTCTACAATAAGTTTCTGAAAAGTACGGCTTGTAAGCCATAGTGCTGGTGTCTGCAATAGATCCAGCAATGTTTGTCCGTGTGGCACTGCGGCAACGGCCTCTTCAGCGGTGATATGTCTGGTATGGGTGATAGTATCTCAGAACGCCTCGCACCTACACGTACATGCAACGCCATGTATATGATATAAACAAATCAAACAAGTTTAATTAGTTGGTTAACTAATTTATATTTATAGTATTAAAAGACCTTACAGCGGGTACATAACAATTGCATATCTCACCTTGGCAGGGCATGATGGTTGACGTCATGGTAGCAAGAACTAAGAACAAATGCTCTGTTCGCTTGACTAATAAGTCATGACTAAAAATACTGTTGGCTTATAAGCCAAGCGAACAGGACGAAAGCAGCAGTCAAGGACACGATCCTCCATGTCCAAGTATTGCCCATGACAGGTGACATGATGAGGAAAAGGGTGTATATATACTAGTACAACCCTTTTCTTTTCTGTGAAGAGGGGAGAGAGCGAATGTACGTAAGTATACAATTTATAGAACTGGAACCACCTCCGATCAACGCATAATTTATGGCATGATCAATATTTAACCAGCAAACCACATGCCAAATGATTTATAGTCTACGAAAGAATTTATTTCTTATGTTGCAACAATGATATCAACCTTAATTAGTCTTTTCTCTCTAATTATTTCTTCTTTTGTAAAACTTTAGTCTTGGTCCGAAGATATTTTAGTATGATAAAAATGATTAGACTACACAATTAGCCAGTGGTTTGTTTGGATACCCACGCAATCCTTGCACATTTTTAGTAAACCTAATATTAAAGAGAGGAGATTTTTCCAACCATGTCTTTTTTAACTTGCCACGGTGCCCTAACGACTCTTCATATCCTGAATATGATCTTGATTTATGACACGTGCTCATATGAGTTAACCTGTGTGTACATCCGTGCATCCGGCGATGGTACAGCAGAGTCGGGTTCCGGGCGTATTGGAACAAATGGCATAATTGTTGAATAAAAATCTCCAAGCCACAGATCATCTCGTGTTCATGCAATAAGTTGTACATGCTTCTCCAAATCTTTGCAACCATTCGCCTTCCCCACGTGCTAGCTCCACTCGACTATAAGGACCGGATGGGTGGGTGATTTGGCATTTAAAAATCTAATGCGATAACCTTATCCTATGCAAATTCTAAACTCCCAAATCATCTTGGCTCCTAAGTTCTTCTAGAAAGCAATATATTCCCTACTACACAAAGTTCATCACTGATTGGTCTAAATCAATTTCACCGCCAGTTTTATTTGCCTTTTGGCGATGAAAGTGGGCGGTGGTAATAATGTTCAACATCGCTGGCTATGCATGCTTCCAGACCGCTGCCACTACCATGTCGTGGTGACCGTTCACTACCCCATATCGGCACATCACTGCTGGTTCAAACCCCCTTCACTGTCGGATTTTGAACCGACACAACCAAATCGGCAGTAATGGGCGGTTCACATTAGTGTCAATTTTCAACCGGTGGTGATCACAATCTTCACTGCTGGTTCGTGGTATCAACCAACAGTGTTGAGGAAACCAACACTACCGGTTCATGACACAAGTCGGCAGTGTTCTGTCGAACAACACTGTCGGTTCATCACCCAAGCCACCAGTGTTCTGTCAAACAACACTGTCGGTTCATCACACAAGCCGACAGTGTTGTTTCTGTGATCACTAACGGTTCGTGGTTGCAACCAGCATTGTTGAGTTAGGCAAGACTGCCGGTTCATTACTTGAGCCGGCAGTGCTGTGTCTATCATCACTGTCGGTTTTTCGATGAACCGGCAGTGATCTCTTTTTTCATATTTTGTTATTTTATATTTTTTTATTATTTTTGTGTGGTACTCTATATTTTCTATGTACACTAGACTTACATCACAAATCCCACAAGATTTATATTACAAATATTACGGTTACAATGAAAATGTACTTATCCAAGATGGTGACATTATCACAAGTCCATTAAGATCCCTATTATAGTAGTCTAACGTAGGCAGCTTTAGCATATGCCTTGTACAGCTTGGTCCGTAAAACGGAGAATATCTCCTTTTTACTCGATACCTCATCCAAGATGAAGCCTGATAGCATATCTTGGAACCCTCTGATCTCGGGGTCTAACAGTCAGCGGTGACCAAGTGTCCCGCGCTGTTGTTCAAGCAAGATGATATCGAAATGCACAAACGTAAGAGAAAATAGTAGATTGTTTTGTTGAATTAACCGATATACATGAAACGGAAAGCATACACACCATTTCATTTGAGTTTTTTGTTTTCCTGCCGATATAATGGAACATTTCCCACATTACGTAGAACCCGCATTCATTGTTTGCCATTGGCTGTTGTAGGGTATCAATTTGCATATGATCAACCTCGAATGGGGTCTTCGTGTGCCCATCCATTCTTGCCTTGTCACACTAAAAAGTGTAAAAGGCGGACATTAGAATGTGCTAAGTGACTAGAAAATAATATGTTTTTTGGGAGACCCAGTTACATCTGTGATTCCTACAACAATATGCGGAGTATTCTTTTAGTTTCTAATCATAATGAATGGTTCAATCAAAAACTTAGAGGCCATTTTTTTTTAAAAAAAATGCTAATTTCCTTTGGGAAATGGAGCAATGATGTAGCATTAATAGCGGAGCACCGCCCACGAGCCCACCAGGGAGAGGGTCCAAAGTCCAAAGCCCCCAAAGACCGTCTGGGTGAGCTGTCAAGTCTCTTCACCACCCCAAGTTATTTATCAAATCAAAAAAAAATAATAAAAAAGTAAAGAGTCACCTGTCACCCATTTCTTGGTTTCGTGGGCGAAGTGGAGTCGACGAAGGTCTGGCCATTTGGGATCATCTTAAAGATGAGCATTCGGGCCGCCCGACCCGGCACGGCGCGAGCTGCTCGAGCCGCGGGAGGTGGCGGGCTGGCGGCGACCGCCGGATCCGCCGCAGGAGCCAGGAGGAGGCCAGCAGTTGTAGCTGCTCGTGGAAGCCGGTGGTGCTGGAGCCAGGAGGAGGCGCCCACCGGCACGCTCAATGCTGCCGCGTGTGGAGGAGGCCGCACGGGGCGCGTAGGGATGCTGTCGTGCTCGTCTGTCGGTGGTCCGGGGGGCAGCCGCGCGGAGGAGAGGAGCGCGCAACTGAGGGAGTATCGGCGGGCGAGCGAGAAAGGGAAGGAAGAGAGTGCGGCGCGGGGGGAGGGACGAGGGAAGTTAGGGTTTAGGTGGCAGGGGGGCGTCGTGGGCTGAAGGCTGGTGGGCTGTTTTTTTTTTTTTGAGAAGCGGCTGATGGGCTGTTAGCAGGCCACAGTAACAACCGGGCCTCCAGCGGGCCTTTGGCCATTTACCGGGCCGTGCCGGCCCGGGCCTGCGCAAGGCCGGGGCGTGCCGTGTTTGGGCTAGGCTAAAAAAACCGTGCTTCGGGCCGGGCCGTCGTGCCACGGGCTGCATGCTCACCTTCATCGTCTCGTTCTCGCGCCGCCGCCGAGTGCCGGCAGCCGAAGTAGGGATCTTGAGCCGAAGCAAGGAGCAGCCCAGTATTGCGTCGAGGTGAGGTGATCCTAGATTCCACACATCTCCTCTTCCCCTCTCGTTCTCTGCTCATTTTTTCCCTCGCCGCTCCAGCAGAACCTCCGGGCGCCGGCGACCTGTTCGACGGAATGAACAAGAAGGCGGCGGCAGCGCGCGGCGCGGACCGCATCAGCGATCTCCCCGACGCGCTGCTCCAGCACGTGCTCTCCCTGCTGCCGGCGGACCAGGCCGTGCAGACGTCCGTGCTCGCGCGCCGGTGGCGGCACCTCTGGAAGGTCATGCCCGCCCTGCGCCTCGTCGGCCCCAAGACGCGGTTCGCGACCGCCCAGGACTTCGACAGGTTCGTGAACCGTCTCATCGCCGTCCGCGGCCATTTGCCCCTCGTCAGCTGCGAGGTCGAGGCGTACCTGACCTGGGATGATTACGCTGGTGAGCCTGAGGAGCCGGAGCCGAACCTGTACTTCGACTCGTGGATCCAGTACACGCTGGCGTGCAAGGTTCAGGTTCTCAAAGTCGTCGGCGACGCTGTTGGCTGCGAATCAGAGCTCATCGTGCCTCTTATCTCTCAGCACCTGGTGAACCTGGATGTCCACCATGTTTGTATGGAAAAAGATTCTGTGGATTTCTCAAGCTGTCCAGTGTTAGAGGAGTTAAAGATGAAGGAGTGCGGCCTTTGGGTGCGCAGCATGTCGTTTCCATCTCTGAAGCGTCTGTTCCTTACTGAATGCAACTTCCCTGTGGATCGCCGCGTCAGTATTTTGGCACCTGGTATTGTTTCACTGCGCCTTCTTCAGTGTGGAGGCAAGACTCCTTTGCTTGAGAGCATGCCGTTGCTAGAAACCGCTTCCATTGATCTTTCCCGCTATGAGTGCAAGGATAAGTGTGGGGGTTGTACTGATGAAAGCTGTGAAGGTTGTCATGGTTATCCTGTTGGGAGTTATCGGAGCGTACTTCTGAATGTTCTCTCCAATGCTATAAATTTGGAGTTAAAGGATCAACCTGAAGTGGTATGCTTCTTGCTTCCACTTATATTGTACTCCGTATCTACTCTAACTGTTACTTGGTATATAGTTTTACATGCATAAACACAAACAACTTGCTTTTTCATTATCACACATTGGTGCTGTCACTGTCATTACTTGGCTGACATACTTTCCATTGTTTCTTTCTGATGGTTGTGATAGATTATTGTTACTATCTGTAGGTGTCAATTTTGTACACCATGCAATCTACAATTGTTAGACTGAGTGGTTCTTGTCAATTTCTTTAGGAGTTGATAGCATCTGCCTTTATGGTCAATATATCACTGTTTCAGATTCAGAAGAGCTTAGGAAGACATATGGGTTATTAGCACTTCTCATTGTATTTGCTTAAGCCAAAATTAGACATTAACTATTGTACATATGTCCAATCAAGCTCTTGTACTATTGATTGATTGATGCTAGCCCTCAACTTTTTATTTTTGTTAAAGTGCATCATTGGATCATGCAATTTCATTATATAATAGGATCCTGAATAGGCCAAAATGACAATTTAGAGGCTTAAGGTGTAGTTCTGTCATTTTGTATTTATTTGTGAATCTAAAATATCAACCAAAGTTTCCACTTGCCTCAATTATTTCATTTCATAAGCTGGAAAATTTGAGTTTCTCAAATTTTTGCTACTTGTGTAGTATATGTACAAAAGGGATTTGGAATGTTGCCCCATATTTGGAAGATTGAAGACTCTTTTACTCGACATGTGGTGCAGGCATGTTGACATGCATGCACTGGTTCGCTTTCTCCAGCACACACCAATTCTTGAAAAGCTTACACTTCAGCTTCGTAGTGACAAGGTAGATTTTCTGGATATATGTTATCACTGTACTAAAGGTTGTGTAATGTATACTCGATTTATCTTACTTGTATGTTGTGTCCTGTAGAATCTCTTATGTGCAGGCCGAGGCGAAAGAAAACATGTTCGAATAGGGCAATCATTTTCATGTGCACATCTTAAGGAAGTCAGCATAGAATGTGAAGAGAAACTAAGGGTCCAGGATAAGGTCAGGCAAATTGTGAAGATCTTAAATAGAAGTGGCATACTTAAAGAGCAAATCACTTTTAAGAAGCTCCCAAGGCCAGAAGGTTGTAAGTTAACTATTAATGTTCATTATGCTTCATACTCCAATTAAAAAATTTGGAACCTTGTTCCAATATATTCTAAGCTGTAATTACTCATCAAGACATCAGGTAGAGCACATAACAACACCCTTTACAGTAATACAGTAACATCCATTATTCAAAATCTATATTATTGTTAGGTATGAACTGTCATAGTTCAGAACTGTTATTATTATCTCACCAGGATTATAGTGTGACTAGTAGTGGAATTACGTTTCCATGGTGCATTGGTGACTATAAAATCTGTACCCTGATTAATTCCTCATGGAAACAGTAGCTGTTCTCATCTTCGAATCCAGTTTACCCCTTCAATACTCTATTTCCTGGTTTCCATCTTATTAAGGACCACCAATTGGTGATTGTGTTTACTTTTCCTGAGCATGTGACAGATTTGCTGGTCCCGGATTTATGGTAATGCTGCCATCTTCTGATCTCCCTAGTGATAAAGAGCAAACTAGCATGCCTGTCACTCTTTTTACTGAATCTAAAGTTTTGACTTACCTCCAGGTTAACAAGAAATTAGGTCAAAAAACGTGCATATTGGGATGTCCACTGATTCAAGAAATCTATCCAAGCAATCAGAAATTCCAATCTTATCAATGAATGTGTCATATAATATAACTGATAGTATGTTTTCATTTTGGTTCAGTCTATCGTCTCGTGGCTGTGTCACCTAGGGCCTTTGATGACAACTGGTCAGGTGGCGAATAAGGTGATGGTGCTCGGTCGCGATGTTGCTCCAAGCCTGTTATGTCATTTCTCCAAATCTTTTGTAATGGTAGGCCCTGTGCAGGCCGTTGGTTTCATGGTGCAACTAAGCTGAACAATTTCCAGTTCGTTCTGTTAAGACATTAGTATTTCATTCAGTTTTCCAATTTCGCAGTCGACTCAAAAGCTTATTTCTCAACCAATGAGAATAGATGTCAGATGCGCATCAAGATATGGATTCGTTTTTTCCCATGCCATTTATATAAACTAGCCACTGTTGTCCGCGCTTCGCTGCGGGTGATGTGCTTTGTATAAGAAATCTTGGAAAATATGGCTCACATGTCTAATATGTTTTCTCATCACGTTGCTACGAAAGGTTGGTCTATTTGGTACATTAAATGTTGGGAAAATATGGGAAGGAAAAGTAACATGGCTTTTCTCGTTACAATGTTGTAAAGGAACATAGAGGTTGATTGTTATTACATGGTGCGTATTCTAGGCTAGGAAATCAATGACAAGTTAGTGTAAAGAAGTATTGGATGGAGTTGGGCTCAAGCAACTAACACACTTAGATTCAAAGCACAACATTGGTTAGGAATACATTATAGGTGGAAAGAGCACAAACTACAACACAAATACATCTCCTGACGCGAGGGTTTATAAAAGAGTGAATTAGAATCCACTCCCCTTCGGCGAAAGGATGTCTACATAAAATTATTGAAGTAGGGGGCTCAAGCAGCTAACTCCACTAGAGCCAAAGCATTACATTATGTGGGATTACATGATAGGCGGGAAATACCAGCACTACAATACGGGTACATATCCTCATGCGTTGAACAACTTTTAAGGGTCTAGCTTCGGACCGTATTAGCTTCATTCCATGAGGGGGCGATGCGTCCACTAAGATCATACTTCAGAGCTTGAGGAATCCTTCGGGAGGATGGCATGAGAGCAGGCACCATCTCCTGGTGGTGGTTGAGTGAGTGGGAGGATTTCTTCTCCATCAGCTGACCCTATCTCAGAAATTACCTATGAGACGTCTGTTGGGGGAGGCACGGGGGGCACGTCCACTATGGCCTCTTGGATTTTTTTTTCCATCGATGCAATTGGTATTCCATCTAGTATGGGGCACTCCCTCTCTTCCAAAGTGAGGGTCCTTCTCTTGGCCCTAGTGACAAGGTAGAAATCCTTTAGCTGCTAAGTGTGCCGATCTTCGGCTGGCTTGGAGGCTTCAATTATTGCAGCCTCACGGCTCTCCGCTCTAGTTGCTTGTGCCTTGGCCTCGGCAAACTGCACTTCGAGGCTTCTGATATGCTTCTCGGCCTCCTCTGCTCTATGAATGCACTTCCTCAAATCGGTGGCCTGCCTATCATACTGCTCATCTAGGGAAAGCAAGTAGTCAGTCATGAACACTGTAGTTGGGTCATCTTCCCGTAATTCGCCCCCTTCGAGGGTCCTCATCCGAGCAACCCATATAGGGCTGTTCCTTACAAAAGGGGGGAATAATCTCATGGGTGTACAACATATCTGCCTCTCATAAATCTGGCATAGGTACCTTAAAGCCTTGCGAGCGTCAACTTGGTAAGTGTCCTCGAAACAAAACATGTGGTAGACACCACCCATGGTATTGTGTCAGGAAAATCCTTACTTGGTCCGACATAGACGATCACCTCGCACCACTTCGTGCCATACTCATATTCCCTGCCAACATATTCTAGGTGGTCCAAAATACCTAGCCTGGTCATGGTTGCATATAGAAGCTTCGAGAAACCAGGCGTGTTCATGCAGTAGCTAGTGGTCCAGCCTTCGTCCACCATCTACAAGGAAAAGAAGGGGACATCATGTCTGGAACATATAGGAGAGGGTAAGATTTATGTAAAGATGTTTATACCTTGGTTGAAACAACCCCGATTTCCGCGAAGGGAAATCCACAGAGTCGAAGTGTAATAAGACCGTTGTAGATCATATTACCCAAATTCCAGTCGAATATCACATCCATACAACGATAATATCAGAGTACAAATAGTGCGGAATTACATAATTTATTACATCGCCGCATTGGCGGAATCAAAAGTAGCATTCATTCAAAACAGCTTGAAGATAAGATCGCCAAACTCGAGCGTAGGAACGAACCCCTCAACCGTCAAACTCCTCGGAGCTATACTCCTCAGCAGAACCTGTGTGCCAAAATTTATCAGTACGATTTGTACTGGCCACTCCCAACCCTATGAGCATTGCTTTGTGGAAATTGGATGCAAGTTGGATATAATCAAAAGGAACCTATAAAGCTGGGGTTTCCTATGTATTAGCATATCAAGTTCATAATAATGGTTGGTCAAGTTTAACACCATTCTCACCCATTCCACCCCATTCCCATTCCAGAGCCAGGTTTCGATCCTGGGATCGATATACCACCATATCCACACCATCACCATACCACACTCATTTCATCGCTCAGTCGACAGGCCAACTCCCTCTCAGCACTGTCTCAAGGCCCGTAGCCCCTGGCTACGTCCGAACACTCATCCCAGGGGGAGAAAAGAAAGACTCATCTCACTATCTAGTTTAAGCGAAACCCAGGAAAGGTCTATAGCCGACAAGTCGGCATATGTATCGATCGATCAACCATACACTCTGCAAAGGTTTTACATAACCACAAGATCCACCTTCCTCGCTGACCGTCGTCAACTAGGCTGATTCTGGCCGCTTGCTAGCCTAGGATAATACCACTCTACCATTCAGCCCTGGTACACCCCAAGTTCAGTCTGGAGTGGCTGAAACTGTGAGTCATGAGCCGGGTCCACAAGGTCTCCATGAAGTCTCGGAAGGGTGTGGGGGAAATCCTCCGCACCCCGTACCTCCTTACACTGTTCGCTAACAACCTAGCAGTAGTGGCAATATCCTACCAAGTAGTCCGGCCGTCCCGCACCATACAGGGCGAGTGGTACGTAAGGCTTCCGGTGAATCTGAGTACTAGTAAGTCCTTAGGGATGACCAAGCCAGAATGTCTTCATCAGGGTTTCCATTTACCGTGCCACCACAGCACCTCCACCCTGGGCTCCTCCCATCACAGGTTCACACCCAGGGCCACCTTATATAACATTTACCCACCACAGGTATCCATTCTATGGGTGCCCAGGTAGCACCCCACGGCAGGACTTGCCCCAGGCTCGTCGTATACCCCAACTTGGTCGACACAACCCTCACCCTCCACGCACCCAAGTCACACATGCAGCACTCTCCCCATGGTCCAGATAACACCAGTTTCCACCACGCCTCCATATAGTGCAAGCGTAGTAGAAGTAGTAAGCAATGAAATATATTAGCAAGCATGTGACTAGCCTAACAGCAGGGTGAGCAGGGGTAAGGTTATGTCAAGGTAAAGGCCATCAAGAAAGCATACTACCATGCAAGTCCTACCATAATGTGATCATGACAATAAAGTAAGCGCTAGCATTTCTATATTAGCCATGCGTAATAGGTGCTACGAGATTGGGTGGGATGTGGCACCTTCAGTGTAGTCGTCTCCGTACTCCTCACGGTACTAACGATCCTTGTCCGTCCTGTTCTCCTCCGAGTCTGCAAACGACCGCATTATAGTCGCGTTAGCGACGTCTATAGAATAGCACAAAGAAGCAATGAAAATTCAAAAGAGCCAAATGCACTCAAACATGGGTCCATTGCGTAGAGCTCGATTTTAGATGAATTTTGGTCCTGGTTTCGTATTTTTCTGAAGTCGTATGAATTAGTTATGAATTTCCGAAGATTAATACCATTTTTAAAAATGAAAAAGGCTGAATTAATCCTGGGCTGACACGTGTCACGCTGTGGTTGGTCCACGTGGCTTGCTGATGTCAGCATGACGTCAGCATCACGGTTCCGAGCTGACAGGTGGGGTCTAGCTGACGTCATCAACGTCATGCTCACCGACAGGTGGGGCCAGAGGCTATTGAGTCACTGACAGGTGGGTCCGGTCAAAGTCAACGGCGAGTCAACAGTCAATGGTCTTCGGTCAACGGTCAGGGTCACTGACGTGTGGGGCCAGGGCTGCTGACGTCATCATCATATGTCAGCGTGACGTCAGCATGACATCACCTCTGCTGTGCTGGCTTCTGACATGTGGGTCCCGCGTGACGTCATCACGACACCAGCATGACGTCATCGTCTGACGTGTGGGTCCAGCAACACTGTGTCGCTGATATGTGGGGTCAGGTCAACGGTCAACGTTGACCGGTCAACGGTCAACACGGGCCGGGTCTCAAACGGGCCGGTTGGGCTCCGGGTAGGGCGGGTCTGGGCTGGGCCGGGCCAGACATGTGGCAGGGTGTGGCACAGCCACGTCACGACCATGGGCCCTTATTGGGCTTCGTCCACAGCGCGGATCACACCGTGTGGCCCACGGTGGACCAGCGCTCATGGTCCATGGACCTACGGCAGGGCGCATGGTGGACCAAGTCCACCGTCTCTTCTCCTTGGCTCGGCTCACGTGCACCGAGCCTACGCACGGGTGGCCGATGAGGGGGGGTGTTCCCCTGTTTCTTACCGCGGCGGTGCTCCTGCCAGCGGCGAGCTCGCGGTGAGCCCCCGCGGTGGCTCTGGTGTCCGATTGGGGAGGGGAAAAGCTTCCCCGGGCCACGGCGACTGTGTCTGTGGGGTCAAGGTGGCGGCTAGAGCTATCCAAGGTGCTGGCCATGGCGAGCGGCGGCTCGGCAGTGCTTGCCGACGGTGAAGTCGCGCGTGCGGCCTTCCAGGTGGCTCGGCTGAGCAGGTATAGGCTACTGCGAGTCCGTGGGGGCACGGTGAAGTGTCCAGGGCTCAAGGCGGGGCTTCGGCGTTTCCATGTGGCCGGCAAGGATTTCCCAGCGGCCACGGCACCATGGAGACGACCGGGTGATCAACGGGGTGGTCACGGCGTGGTCACAGATGTGTGCGCGGGTGCGGGTGTTCCCAGCGGCCAGCGACGGCCTTGGCCTACACGCTCCTGGTGTGGAGCGCCATGGCCG